CGGGCGGTGTGACATGATCCCAGAATGAATGGCATTCTGGCTCCATCCCTCCCGCGAAGGAGTTGTGGGAGGAGGACCAACTTGTGCTGGGTACGACGGCCTGAGAATCCATCAGCCGCGACGTTCCTTAAAGCACTGCCTTCGACGAGCCTTAGGAGGAGGCCTTCTGGATCGCGTCGCGCATGTCCCCGTCCGAGGCTGAGTCACACGCCGTGCATAATGCGGCGGACGATATCACGTGGTGAGGTTGACACATTCGCCGAGTATCTATCGGATTATCTCGCGACGCCTCCTTTCACCCTCAGACCTTCTCAATTCCTTGAAGAAAAAAATCCCCGACGCACCTGGCCTTTTGAAATCCCCAGACAGCCTCGCCTCACGTGCATCCGCCTCCGTGATGAGGTCGACATGGCAGAGACACGAAAAGGGGCCCGTACACAGCGATAACAAGGGAGGTCAAGTGCGGTCTCGGGACCCCGTCTTCCGTGATAAAGAGGAGGTCACGTCCTCCCGAGACAGACGCAGCCTCAACCTCCCTCTGATGACGAGAGATAATGTATGAATTAATTATCAAATGAATTCGTTATCTGATGTCTCGATCTTGACTCTCGCTGTTTAAACAGACCATAAATTTTAAGAAACACACATGTGAGCTCTGCTCCGTGTGTCGCGTGACCCCCAAATAAGAACCTTCAAAAAAATTTATGAACTCTTCATCCCAAATGCCTTTTTTCATTTTGTCGCGGAATCTGTTACAATTAACTCGTCTAATTAAAAGAATTAAGGGCTAATCAAGTTAACAGTAAGGGACCTCGTCCACATGCAGGTTTTTCTTCCAACCCGAGAGCTTTCTGAGTCACAAGATGGAGGCCCAAGATATCCTCATGAGATTTGACCTCCGCTGTTGCTGGGCCGCCGCCGACGCCTCCGTCAGCCGCGCGCCGCTCGATTTAACCCTCCATCAGAGGTCTTACGACACTCTTCCGGCCTCACGTGCTGTCATGGTGATACGAGGGACGCAGCGCGCTATAAAACGAGGTGGTTTTCGCCGTCTGAAGATAAGCCGAGAGGGAAATCATCGACGCTTGTGCCACAAGGGAGGTCGGCCTGCAATATATGGAGATACATAAAGTGACACGGTTGACCTGACCCAACGCCAACGTCTGGAGCTCGTCTGCGTTGCTTTTTTTGGGAGTTAACCGTGACCTGGTCTGATAGGAATGACCTCCGACGAAATCGCTGCCGACGGGAGAAAGCGGCGTTATGTCATTCGATATCAAGGAGGAACCGACGGGGAAGTGGTTCTCGGAACGAATTCCTTTCCTTCTAAGTATTCAAGCATATTGGACATGGAGAACAATTACATAAAAAAGGTGCAAATGCATTTTATATTCATGAACGCAGACATATCAGTCAGAGAGATTAATGGCAAGAGGAAAGTCAGATGGAGCGATACTTAAACCAAGGTGTTCGCGCCACCTGAGTGTCCGGCCGCCATAAACACTTGCATAGTAACAACCGGTCGGGACTTGCTTGAAGAGACCTAAAACAGAGGGGAAGAAAAAGTAATCCTTGTCCCAGGGATTAACATAAATATATAGGGTGAAAGTCCCAGATTGGACAACGGGTCGCACTGAAGCTCCCCCTCCCCCTCCCCCCCCAACCGGCTCGTGGTGGACGCTGGCTAGCAACGTCCGAGATCTTACTCATGCTGCCCCGGTGTCGTCCAGCTCTTCACATCGAGTCGTACCCCCCACACGCCAGGAATTTGCATTTATTAGCCTTATTAAACCAGGTATTTTGTACTCTTTGGCGTCTGGCACTCGGCTGCTGGTTCTTGACTGGCTTCTTTCGATTTAATCCACTTCCTTCATGTACACGATTAGTGAAGTGAACCTTTTTATTGATTTTTTGTCTTCTGTTTTATTGATTTTTTAAAATTTATTTTTTATTGATATTATTTTTTTCCTTATTATTTTTTTATATGATCCGGATCAATCGAAGGTCTTCGTGAAACCTTAACCCCAATGACTGTCTCTCGAGGAAGCATAAAATTTCTCATTTGGATTTCGTTTGGCCTTAGTGTCCCTTCCTATTCTTCTCCCTCATCTTTCCACCCTCTTTCAGTCTCTCTCTCTCTCTTTTTATGTGTATATATATATATATATATATATATATATATATATATATATATATTTATATATATGTGTGTGTGTGTGTGTGTGTGTGTGTGTGTGTGTGTGTGTGTGTGTGTGTGTGTGTGTGTGTGTGTGTGTGTATATATATATATATATATATATATATATATATATATATATATATATATACATACATACATATATATATCTTTCTCCCTCCTTCTCACTTTTTTTTCTCCCTCCCTCTCTCTCTTTTTCTACCTCCCACTCTCTCTTTCTCTCTCTTTCTATCTCTCTCCCTCCCTCTAACTCTACCTCTCCCTCCCCTCTTCCTCCCTCCCTCCCTCTCTCTCTCTCTCTCT